AACTTTCTATCCCTTTTCCAAATTTTCCAAAGAATTAGTTTGTCCACCTTTTCCCGCAAAACTGCCGTTGAGCGGAGCACCCCCGAAACTAACTTTGAAAAATAGTAGTTATATAAAGGTTACGCGGTGGGGAACCGCGAACCGGGTAAAGGGTGGGAAGACTTCCACCTCGACTCGAAAAAAATTCAAATAGGCTAAGACACGACCTCTCTCCAATAGCTAAATACGACCCCTAAATCTCAGCGATGCTGCATTGGCGATGAGCTCGCCACCACTCTCCCCTTTCCTCATTTTCCGACAACTACCAATGGTCCTGGCGCCATCCGCTAGTCTCGTAGCCATCTTGCCCACTTTAAGAAATCGTACCTGAAACTTCGAACACTCTAGGACACTCTTGGACACCGTGATAGCTGCGTTTACACTCTGTGCAAAAGTCGTAACCACAAAAGAGACATGTCGCCAGATGTTCAGTTCTGGAAGCTCCAATATTTTAACGTTATAGCATAAAGTAAATTAATAAAGACGAAATACAGTTACTCGACTAGTATAGTAGATATATGTAGCTACAATGAGCATGAAAGTATAGTATGTTGTCGTTTAGTTCAGTCTACGGACATATATGAATCTTAAAGGCAGTTGGCACGATAAATCCCCCAAGACGACTAGGATCAATACTCCTGGCAGGATAGAATTCCGCGACCCTGGGCAGGCGCTGCATAGCGGTTTCCCCGAGGAAGGTGCCCTTATAAGGGCCCTATCAAGCCACAACTTTACGTCCCAAACGCCCGCCACGCCCGCCCGCCCACAAATGGACGACCGTTCCTGACGCTCGTATTCATTCATTTGCTAATTATGAAGCGAAGGGATTGGTATGAAGCGGCCGTGATGCTGCATGCATACATGGGTACACATATGCAGCCGTATCTTCGGTAGCGGTGATTGGCAAGATGCCTACGGGAAACTCGTCCGAAATCGATTTACAAGTCACTGAGAACGGAGGCTTTTTCTTCGCAGGATTTTGACCGTTTCACTCCGTTCTTTCGCCATTTCCCACTATACAGCGCCCTTTTAGGCTAAGTAGGAAACCATCGTGCCAACTGCCTTTAAAGTCAGTGGGCACGATGGCTCGGACGGTTACTGCCCACGTCATTGGCTAGAGGGATGCAGGATGCGTGGGACCACACCCTCTGAGCTCTTCCACCAGTGATTTTCGCACGACTGCCCTTCCTACCATTGTACCCCGCTGTCCCTTGAAGTAGGTTGTCTCTTTGGGCTTCCTCCACCCTTTTCAAATTTGCGTGGAATATAATTAGGCCTTGTTCAGCATGAAAGGTTGGCTGCGAGTTGGTCAAGTCCAGATGGCTTACGTTTCACTTCGAACGGATGGTTTTCTGACACTCAATTTTCGGGCACGTCGCCATATCGTCCATATTCTCCACAGCTCTGTCCAACAAGATTCTCTCATAGCGTTCGAGCTCGTTCTGTTACAAATGAAATCTGATCGCTTTTCTCCGAACTTAGTGATCTGACAGCTGCGCGAACAAACACGATATTGCAAGACGTACTTGGCCGAGGAGCTCCATGATGACATTTTGTGAGGCGCTTGACTGACAATCGTCGGCAAGGCAAGTGAGTCGTGACATCTGCAAAGTAATGTCTTGATGACAAAAGGAACCAACGGCACAGTTCGGCCTGATGAGGGGGGCACCGAATGGCACCCAACTAAACGTGTATAGGCCAAATTGTAAAAACCTGCGAAACTGTGACCGAATAGGATCACTAGCAGACTTAGCAGCTTCATAGAATTCTACAGGATCGACGGAAGGGGGACACGTCAACTAACACGAACTATTAGATTGTCCCAAAAGTTCGTGACACTTTCGAACTTTTTTTCGAGTTAAGTTTATTCCAGTGAGAAGCAATTTTGATCAACAATATATATGTTACCTTCATTGGCAACTTGTTGCCAACCACCACGCAAAGTGGTTGCCTTGCTTCCAGAAGCTTCTTGGTTCTGTGCCCAGAAAGGCAGCTGGGTCATTTTTGAGGTACTATCAAAAATCGTATTTTACCCAGAAGATGGCCGCTGTGGGATTAGTTTAGATGGCGATCGGAAAGAGCTAAGTCAGGGCTACACGAAGACTGTGGTGGAATTCCCCAGCTAAGCTTCAGGATCTCGAGCAGTGTCATTTTCGAAACGTGTGACCCTGAGCTGTGGTGGAGTAGGCAAACATTGCTCGGTTGTGGGACCAAATGGTGGGGATTTTCATCCCCCCTTTGCAGTTGATTACAATATTGTTCGCTTGTTTGTTTCGTTACCACGAAGAAATTCCCTTTGAGGAAGAGATAAAGAAACCCCACCACATACCAGTATCACCGCCTACTGATAGGATTGCGCGATCGGTTCTGCCCTTTCTGGGGATCTAGCCGCTGGCGCTTCCGGGAGTGATTCACCTAGAGACACCCACTCCATATCCAGTTACAGCGCTGTTCAACCAGTCCGTACGGGAGAGAATTCGTAGACAGCACCCACACGTGTTCCCTTGGAGTATCGGTCAACTCATGAGAAAAATTTTGACCGAACTTCAATACTTTTTGAGGGAGCGAGGCCCTCTGTCATTTGTGCTTTTGGAACAGTCAAGTGTAAGGACTAGATAGCGAGTTGATGACAGTAGGTCCAAATCCAAGGCAGGTGGCCTCCCTGGACGAAGTTTTTCTCCCAGGTAGAAGTCACTCAAGCGAAAGCGATCGGGCCATTTCAACGCCGTACTGTGGAAGGTACCATCAGGACCTAACTCAGAGAAATGCCGCTTGTGGCTCCAACCACGTTGTGGCTTGGTGGAGATTCATATAGCGAAGTGTGTCGAAAATGATGAATTCCAGAACTGCGACTGCGAGCGATGGTGAAAAAGCTGTGGGTTGCTTACTTAACACACTTCCCATAAAACATAATAGGGCTCTAAATGGCTACGGAAAGATCTGATACGAGATTCTAAAAATGGTCTAGAGCTTTGGGACAACCTAATAACAAAAGGACTAGCGAAAGTGCAAAGTGTCCTCCCAGTCCGAACAGCATTGAAATCAACTTGGTGGCCACAAAACTCAGTTAAGAAACCATTGTACCTGCTGATTTGTGAGCTTTTCCTTTGAAGTAGCCGGTCACACATTCCTTGCAGAACGAATGCCCACATGGCAAAAAACGTACGCAATCACGGGCGGCCTTATTCTCGAGACAAATCTTGAATCAGAAAATGATTTTTATAAAGATGAATCAATTCTAAATCACTTAGCCTTTGCCCATGTAAAAATATATGCGATTTCACTACGAATTCGCCACTAATTACCTTTCACTGCCAGTCTTCGGAATTTGGGTCAGAACTTCGACATGCATGCATGAGTTTGGCACGAAACAGCCTAGCGCCCCTGCTACAGGCGCCGGGGCCCGAAATATTAGGTTGTCCGGAAAGTTCTCAGCGTTTTGAGTGTTTCACTTTAAACGATCATAACTTTCTTAATACTCATCGGATTTAATCGAAATAAGCACCATTCGAATCAGCACACTTTTGCCAATGTGACACCAGTCGATAAATCCCATCAAAGGAAAAACTGGGTGGTCGAGAATCCACGAAATCCACGAAGGCTTTTTTGCCTGGTCCTGATTGATGAAGTATTTTCCAGCAAGGAAGTTCTG